ACTGAACTACCATGTGATCCAGCAATCCCATTTCTGACTGTACATCCAAAAGAATTGAAATCAATTTATAAAAGAGATATCTGCACTTCCACATTCATCGCGGCATTATCCACAATAGCCAAGATATGGAATCAACTCCATTACCTGTCATCAATGGATTAAGGGATAAAGAAATGTGGTATATACAAATCAGAATACTGTTAAGCCTTAGAAAAAGAAAATCCTGTAATTTGTGACAACATGGATGAATCTGGAGGACATTATGTTAAATGAAATGAGCCGGACACAGAAAAACAAATACTACATAATTTTACATACATGTAAAATCTAAAAAAGTTCAACTAATAGGAGCTCAAGGTAAAATAGGGATTACCAGAGATGGAGGGTTAGGGGATTGGAAGATGTTGGCCAAAGGATATAAAATTTTAGTCAGATGAGAAGAATAAGTTTAAGAGTGCTATTGTACATCATGGTAACTACAGGCAATAACAATATATGCTACATATGAAAATTGCTAAGGGTAGTTTTTATGTGTTCTCATCATACACACACACACACAAAATGTGAAGTAAGATATATGTTAATTACCTTGATTTAGCCAATCCAGAATGTATGCATATATTAAGACATCATGTTGTATACCGTAGATACATTCAATTTTTATTTGTTAATCAAGAAAGAAAATAGTTTGTTTTTATGTTGTGATAAATTCAGTAAAAAGAATGTAAATAGAATTACTACATTTTTTTTTTATTTCAGGGTATTATGAGGGTACAAACATTTTGGTTACATTGTATGCCTTTGCCTCTCCCAAGTGAGGGTTAGAGGCATGCCCTTCCCCACTACAATGCTCACCAAGTCCATTGGTTGTGAGTTTATGCCCCACCAACCCCCTAATCCCTGGAGAATATTACTACTGTATCAGCACCATAGTGTTAATCAGTCAGTGCCAATTTGATGGCAAGTACAAGTGGAGCCCATTCTTCCGATCTTGTGATACCTCATTTCGGATAATGACCTCAAGTTCAATACAGGAAAATATAAGAGGTACTAGGTCACTGAAGAAATACTACTTTTTAAGATTGCCTGACTCAACTCTATTTAAAGAGATTCTACTGACACAGTCACATTTTTTGCTACTTTAATTTTTATTGAAGTTATTATTGTGATCATTTTAAACTCACATGTAGCTGTAAGAAGTAACACAGAAAGATGCCGTGAACCATTTATCCAGTTTTTTCCAGTGGTAACGTTTTGCAAAACTATAGTTCAATATCACAGCCACAATATTACCATAGATACATCTACTTATTCATGTTTTGCTAGTTCTACTTGCACTTTTTGTATGCCTATATTTAATTCTATATGAATTTTTCTTCCATTGCATTTTAACCAATACTGTAAATGTCCTGGATTTCAGGATTATGAATTCCTAAAATATCATATTCTTATTGCCACTTAAAATTCAAAAAAAAGTCAACTCACATACATTTATATGTTGTGTAAGTGTATTGGAATGGTTGAAGAGTAATGGCAGGAAAGCAGATATAGTCGATCGTTTCTGAACACTAAGGTAATTTCTACATACACTGAATACTCTTCCACATCTGAAACATTTCATATGAATTGAAGTGATATTAGAGTTCAATGAGGAGCTTTTGAAGAAATAAACTTTTCATGTTTCCCCAAATATATTACAGAAAATATCAATGATCCTAAAATGCATGTAATTAATTTTTAAATTGACTTGGGATAGAATTAAATTCATACCAACACTTAATTGATAGCTACCATGTGAAATTGTATGCTGGTGGGTTTGATTTCAAATTCATCTGATAGGAAAAAAAGTACACAGAGCTTAGACCATTTTTGTTGCATTCTTAAAAGTATAAAAGGTTAATGTTAGCTCTCAGATCAAGAAGAAAGGAGATCCCAGAAGATTTCTATTCTTAAGGGAGGTCTATACAAATAATACAGTAACTTAAAACTGGTCACAGGCATATTTGGTCTTAAACATGGAAAAGAAATCTTTCCTTGCAGGGCTTTAGCAACTGAGCTACCTTGAGATGCCAGGTGAGAGAACAAGACAAGGTTTATCTGAATTGAGTTTGGAAATACAAAGATCAAAGAAACTTTGGATAATTTAGTGAGTGGAGAAACTCCAGCCTGTAGTACAAGGATCTCAGGCATCTGGTGAATGTTCCTTTCTGTGAAACCATTTCTGATTTGTTTTTCTCAAAAACATGAGATTTTTGGGCAATGGTACTCAACCGCATAGAAGAGTATTCCTAAACTGGAAAAGTGGAGTGCTATCCATGCTTATGGTAACCCTGACTTTGAGGTTCAACCTCGTCGCTGAACATGTACATCCCTTGAGAACACAGAGTATAGATTCTGAAAATGCCAAAGAACCCATGGATGAGAAAAGGCATTGAGAAGAAATTCGGCTGCAGACACTGTACACGAGGTGGCACAAAGATTAGACTACGCAGAATGTGCTCTCCTCACTTAGAAAGTGAGTTTTCTAGACTTCTTATACCTCCCCTGACCCAGCAAAATTCTAAATTAGAGGGAAAAAATCACCATAAAGCTTCTGGGGCTGATTTTATTTTTCTGTCTCTCATTCTTTTGTTTTTTTAATATAATATGTAGGATATAAGTTAATCACTTTGGTCATTCTGTAAGTCTCATCTAAATTGACCCAGATTGTGACTTTGACAAATTGAATGGTATTCCAAATGGAAGCTGAAAGAAATGAGCAGTATCCATATGCCCCTATACTTGATACCAGAGCAAGGAGGGTGAGACTTTGAGGAAGAGTCTTTTATTTTAGTTGTTTTCTTTAGGACTTTTCCTTCACCAAAAATTGGATTCAAGGGCCACGTTAATCGAATCACCTGGAAAATACATAGGTTCCCACAGATAGAGTCTCTATGCTTCCATGCAGGATTTTAAAGTGCATGTCTTCACAAAGGTCTACAAAAAGTAGCAGCAATGCCTTTAGTGAGTGAAGATAGGTGAGAAATTGGGATGATTATTATGTGCAAATATTTAAAAGTTTATTGTCTGTGGGGATGATTGCAAATGATGTGAAGAGTATATATGTAATGCATGTTTAGTTTCATAAAAACAAAGTACTGATGGGTGAACTTAGAGAATATGTGTGTTTTGAAATTTGTGGGAAAGAGACGCACATGTGTCGACAACATACATGAGCTATGATAAAAAAGATCGTAAAGATGACCTCATCTCTGACATCTTGAACATTATAGTTAGGTATTTGCCAGATGTCTGTCATTTATAATTACAGTAGTTAATTATGCTAGCTTTGATCTTTGCTGTAACCTTAAAACCTATTTAAGAATAAGGCACATGGACAAAAGTATTTATCACATATTTCATTGAATAATAGAAAGCAAATGACCAATACCGAATCAATTCCATAAAGTAGTCATAGTACAACGCTTTTGCTATATTGCGGCTAGAAATAAGCTAGTTACTATCACAAATATATAGTCACTGTAAAAATATCTTTATATTATACATTATTGGTCAAAAATTTAAAAAGTATCCCCATAAAATTAGATAGAGCTGAAATACTGTTTAAATGAGTATTAAACAATTTATAATGATTACTTTTATAGTCTGAATTATATAAAAATATTATTTTTATTTTCCTACACGTGTAATTGATGAAAAAATTATGTTTACGTTGAATGATGAGTTGTCATGTAACATAGTGCTTCTTAAGTTATGTGATGGTAAAGTTCCAATTGAAAAGGAATCTCGACCTATCACAAACCATTTTGTACATTTTGTAAATGTTGTATAAATTATAATTAAATATGAATTGTTATAAAATAATAAAATTGCACCCAAAAAACAGGGCCAGAAATTTTATTATTAAAGTAAAGAAATGGAACTATTATATCAAGCTCATATAAAATGTTCTAAATGGTTGTTTTCAATTTCTGCTCTCATCTCCATGTAGAAAAAAAAAGAAAAACAGATCAAAACATGCTATGAACAACTGATATAACAAGGTCTGACTGGTCTAACATCATTTTTGACCAAGGTAGAAAGGAATTCATAGAATAATGTAGTAGTACTAGTACAGTATATGCTGCTAATCTACATAATTTTATTGAAGATTTCAATTAAAATGATTTATTTTGAATTTTAAAATATTTTATCAATTTCATCACTTAGATTAATTAATGTTCAAGATTTTTTTACTTTCGATTAGCTAACACATTTGGAGAATTTGTTCAATAGAAAAGGTATTATTTTCTAGTTTGGGGTCAGAAGTATATTAATAAACAGAATTTAACCTTATACAGACAGTCAGGATCAGTTTAAAAGAAATGTTTTCATGAGGTTAGTAATGATTTATCCTGGCATATGTACACTCACAGTCTGAAAACTATGTCAAATTTTAACATCTGTTTCTGGGATGATGTAAAGTTTCTATATGCTTATTTTCAATTTCTGTACACATCTCAACCAGAAAACATAGCATATTAAAATGTGCCCATGAACTACATTTTGAGTAGGACTGTCTAATATTGACCAAAGCAGTAAGAAATACCCTGGTCATGATGTACTACTGTAATTACAATAACAGGTATGAATTGGATGAATTTCTAAAAGAATTTTATTGAAAGCACATTATTTATTCTAGATTTTTTATTCTAAAATATCTTTATATCAATTAAATGACTTAGGTAAATTAAATATCAGAACTGTTTTTTTCATATTTGTCATTCAATAAGCTATAATGTCTAGGGAATCTGATCTAGAAAGAAGGTCTTGTCTTCTAGTCTGAAAGGATCAGGTGTTATACGTTCGGTAAGAACATTCAATATCATTTCAGACACATAACACAAGCAGATTAAAAGAAGAGATATGATGAGTAGTCAATTAAATGTTCAATTCAAATTTTATCATCTGTGTCTGAGAAAATGCATTTCATTCTAGGAAAGGTATGCAGCCCTGGAGTCATGCTCCCTGTCAATAGCACCACCTCCTTCTCCTCCACCTTCCTGGTGACTGGCATTCCTGGGCTGGAGGCTGTGCACATCTGGATCTCCATACCCTTCTGTGCCATCTTCCTCATTACCTTGGTGGGTAACGTGACCATCATGACAGTTATCTGGAGGGAGCAGACCCTCCATGTGCCTATGTACCTCTTCCTGGCCATGCTAGCTGCCTCTGATCTGGGCCTGTCCCTCTTCACCTTCCCCACAATGCTGAAGATCTTCTGGCTGGATGCTCGAGAGGTGACCTTTCCTGCTTGCTTCACCCAAATGTTCTTTATTCACACCTTTCAGGATTTTGAGTCTGCTGTTATTCTGGCCATGGCCTTTGATCGCTATGTGGCCATTTCTCATCCACTACACTATTCTTCCATCCTCACCAATAGTGTGATCGCCAGGATAGGTTTCACCATTGTTTCACGAACCTTTGCTGTACAGGTGCCCCTCCCCATCCTTTTGAGGAGGCTGTGCTTCTGTCGCTCCAATGTACTTTCTCATTCCTACTGCCTGCATCCTGACATTTTAAGGCTCTCCTGCTCCAACACTAGGATCAATAGTATCTTTGGACTGTTTGTGGTGCTATCCACTATGGGACTTGATTTTCTCCTCATTATTCTTTCTTATGTGTTGATTTTGAAAACTGTATTAAGCATTGCTTCCCATGGTGGCCGGCTCAAGGCCCTCAACACTTGCATCTCCCACATCTCTGCTGTGGTTGTCTTCTTCACACCCATGATCTGCCTGTCTATGCTGCACCGCTTTGGCCCAAGACTTCCCTCACACGTCTATGTGACCTTGGCCAACATGCACTTCTTCATCCCTCCTGTGATGAACCCCATTGTATATGTGGTGAAAACCAGGCAGATCCAAGACAAAATTCTGAAGCTCTTCATCAAAAAAAGAGAAGAATCCCAAATAACATTTATAACATAAATATTGGAAAATGGATATTCCACTGAAAGGCCACTAATCCAACTCTTCTATCTAAAATGGTGTTTCATGTCTATTTCTATGTAAATCTGGAGACAAAGAAATAGGTCCTAGTATATTTTATTTTTGCAAATTGCACAGCCTATAGTTTTCTCTTTCAGCTATAACTGTTGTTTAAATTTATCAGGTAAATTTTCTTTTTACAATTGCTTTTCAGCTCAGGTGATATTTTTATCTTGGAACTTATTTTATAAAACATGAGCTGTGGTTCACTCTTCTGCTTTCTAAAGGACAAATCCTTAATTAGACTTTATACTGTGTTTATGCATCATTTAAATTCAATAACTGCTCATTCATTACATACTATTTAAATGAATTTTACATATACAAGACGATCTCTTCATTGTCTTTTCACAGTTCTTCAAACCAAATAAGTTGTGACTTCTTATAGAGCAAACATATATTGGGATAGTTATGGTGAGTAGGAGGTAAGGGCTTTCCTACTTCAGTTAGATAAAATAAAGTTGGTTTCATTAATTCTTGTAAGATTGCTTATAAAAAGCAAGTGGTAAAAAACTGTGAAGTTGTTGGACTGTGAGGATAAGAAATTAATTTCTAAACTGCTAAAAAATCAAAATAATTGTTTTCAAATTTTAGTCTTCTCTTATCCATGGATGGGAGTAATAGTGGCATCCTTGACCTGATCTTAGAGAGAGCCATAATTTTCCAATTATGGATGCAAAACTGTTTGGCACCCACATAATTCAATGAAGGTTATTGAATTATTTATATCAAAACTTATCTCTCTTATGAGTACAGCAAACATTATGCTTAGGGTAATTTTTATTCTCTTCAAGTTTAGATGACTCAAATGACACTGTATAAGGACAGGTATATTAGGCTAAATTAAGTACAATGATATGCTGCTGTATTTAAAATGTCTCTATTAATCACAAAGTTGTTAACACATTTCACCTTGAAATACGTCTATATTTACATATTGTTTTAAAATATTTGTACCTGTACCTTTCCATATTATGATTTTTTATGTGTCATAGCTAGTATCATTGTTCTCATTTTAATGTTATTTGTATTTTTATAACCATTCTGTTTCTATTTATCGGTGGACTCCTCTGCAATTATCTATTAGCCAGATTTTTCTTAGAGACATTCTTATTGAAAAATAAAACTACTCCCCTACCTTGCCTTGACACCATACGTTGTCCACATATTATATATACATATTTGAGAGTAAACAGTCAATGCTTTTTTTTTTTTTTTTTTTTTGAGACAGAGTCTCACTCTGTTGCCCTGGCTAGAGTGAGTGCCGTGGCATCATCCTAGCTCACAGCAACCTCAAACTCCTGGGCTCAAGCAATCCTTCTGCCTCAGCCTCCCAAGTAGCTGGGACTACAGGCATGCGCCACCATGCCCGGCTAATTTTTTCTATGTATTTTAAGTTGTCTGATTAATTTTTTTCTATTTTTAGTAGAGACGGGGTCTCGCTCTTGCTCAGGCTGGTTTCGAACTTCTGAGCTCAAACAATCCTCCCGCCTTGGCCTCCCAGAGTGCTAGGATTACAGGCATGAGCCACCGCGCCTGGCCCAGTCAATGCTTTTTTACTGTACTGAAAATAAAAAAGGTTTCTGGCTTACATTGAAATATAGATCACAGACCAAAGGAAGTGCCAGGTAAAACTCTTGGCATAGTTTTAATTTTCCCATTTATTTATTATCAACTTTACAATCTTTATGATTATAATCGTTATCACCATTTTGTTCTGTGTCACTATCATCACCATGACAACTCACAGTTTCTAATTTATCCCCAATAGCATCTTGAATTCAACAAAATTCTTTGTCTTAAATGTAGTTTGCTTTCTTGATGTTGTTGTTGAAGGGGGTCACAACAAAGAAACGGATAGACAAATGAATATCTAATATCTGGTATTGAAAAAAATTATAAAACAATGAAGTTTACAATGTCAACAATCACAACCTAAAGTCACTGTATCGACATCCCTATTAGTATCCAGAATCTGAAAGTCATCATTCATAAAAGGTATAATCTTCAAATTCAGTGTATCAATCTGTAGCACAAGGTTCTGTCTTTCAAACATGCTGACTCTTCAACTTCACAGCTCCTTGACTTTGGCCTTGAACCCTCTATTAATAGTTTCAGTACTTCAACCCCTCACATGCTATAAATCTATGACAATCGTCATTATTTTATTATCTTTCATATTCACTTTGGATCACACATATTCCATAAAAAACCCTCAATATTCACGCCTTCTTATTTTTTATACCTTTCAAGTCTAATCTTAACTTTGGAATCAATTTCAATATCTTTATATTTTTCTATTCTTATACTTTTGAGTCCTAATTAAGAATAACACTAAAATTTTCATACCGGAATGACTGCAAATTAATGATAGCTAACTTGCTTAGTACCTTAATGCTAGCTATGTATTATTGTAAGCATGTTGGCTCTATCAGTAATCCACAGCTGTAACATTTTGAACATTGGCAACTCTTTTTAAGTCACTTGTATTTCACACCTTACCCTCTCTTCAATTTCACATACATAAAGTTATTTATTTCTATTTCTATCATCAAATTATTCCTTCTGATCTCAAAGAAAAATTGTAATCTCCTTTATTCAAAGAAGAATAAACTATCTTTACCTTTCCATTAATGCCTCTTGATATATGTGATTCTTCAATCCTGCCTCTAATTCATTCTCTGTTTCTCTCTTATTTACATATTATCATTACTATTACTCCAAACACATAAAATATGCAGGAAATAATGAAACAAACATCATATACTTTTCCACTTGGTTTTGTTAAATTATAATGTTTTACCACACTGGAGTCAGAATGTTTTAAGTAAAAGAGGTTGCAGTAAAAGCAAATTATTTCTGTATATATCACTGAACCATAGACCTTAAACTAAATCCTTAAAGGTAACCAAACAAATTTGAGTTTATTGTTTATCTTTCCCTTCCTTGTTTCATTGCATTTAATGTATGTGTGTCTATGTGTATATAATAAGCATATTTTTTTGTCACCTGGGATCAAAATTATTCTTAGGCCACATTTGAATCTAGCCACGTTTCACACATGCTGAATTCTAACAGATTTCCAGTGGGGGCATGGTATACTTCTGAAAGTCACAGGAGATTCAAGTAAAAGATTAGTGCAGCAGTGCTTATCTTTGTAGCCACGCAGATGACCTTTACCAAACTCTGAGAACTAAGTCTCTGGAATATTCAAATAGTTTCAGAGTAATGGTACATTGTCTATGCTCAAAGCAGCCCCTCAACATGAACCAGGTTGATATCATGTGTAAAGTAAACATAAAATTTATTGTGTGCACTTGGAAGAGAGGCAGAGCTCTCTTTAAGAACTCTAAACTTTATAACTCAAGCAGGCTTCCATGGACAGAGACATCTCTCATGTATCACTGAGGTTCACAGCTGATACAACCATTGCAGATCCAGGAAAAATTCTAGGAAGACTGCAGCTGCCAGATCTTGCCTATGTATACCTTTTTACTGGTGATCCTGCATAGTGTCCTTTTCAATATTAAATCTTAGCCATGAGTGTAACTTTACATTGAGTCGTGTGTCTCCTCCAAGAGAATAACTGAACTAGTGCATGGTCAGGGTTCACCTGAGTTGTCTTCTGTACCTCATTCCTGACTTGGTCCCTACCTCAATTCCCCAGGCCATTTCTGTCCAGCTCTACATCTACTGTATCCAGAATGTGTATCTTCTATCACTGCCTTTTCAGCTTCAAAAAAAACCCAGACTCATTGGACATACTCCTGTTGAATCATTTTTCATCTCTCCGACCTCTTAAAATCATTCTTTAGAGAATAGGAAGAACTCATTTTGAAGAGGGTGGAAGGAGGAGAAGAGAGAATACCAGTGAAAAAGTAAGCTACATGCTAAGTAAGCTGTATGTTATTGTAATGAAGATCAATTAATGAAAAATGAATTTTTCTTGGAGAACATCTATGAATATTATCATTCACAGGAACAGTGCTATAAATATTCACTCCAACTTCCAGCATATTTACGATTTAAGAAAAAACTACTGGATTTGGAAAGAAGGCGTGCTTTGTTTGGAGGATATGAGTGATTATATGTCTTGGAGTTCTCAATGTGATATAAGATGTTTCTTGGGAAAGGGCAGCTAGGGTTTATGGGGTAACTTCTATCTCTGAGTAATGACAATAGTCTGATTCTGGGAACAGAAGAAAGGAAGCCTACAGCAAAACTGGTTACATGTTCTGAGATCATATCATGTATTATTCTGGAGAGCTGGCAAGGATCCACAATGAATTAGCAATACCCAGCTCTGGCCGGCACATGCACATTTAATGCTGCTGTAATAGCCTATGCCACAGGGATTAGGTGCAGGCTGCAGGCTTCCACAGAGAGCAAGAACCAGGGATTTATAAACCTGCTCACTTGGTGTTACGTTCAAGGCAGGGAGCCTCATGGGGGCCCAAGCTGCACCACCATCCACAGAGCTGTGTTTCTGTCCTGGGTTTGGTGAGTGAATGATGGAAACACCTTAGGCTAGGTTAGGCCAAATCATGTCATATATGTACCTGGAATGGGAGTCAAGGGAAGTCATTAGTTATCTAAAATATGGTTGCAAACTCTGTATAAGGATCTATGAGGTAGAAAGGACACTTGTTGGAGGTTGGTAGCACCTTTAATCCTCTTATGTGACATATTCTATAATTTTCAGAAACAATCCCTGACCACTCTTTCCTCACCCAACAATCACTTAATCCTTGAATTTGGAGTTTAAGATCAACTTCAAGTCAAACAACATTTATGTATAGTACATATTAGGTAATTAATGTAAGAAAGAAAGGAAAGGAAGGATGTAAGGAAAGAAGGGAAATAGAGAGGGAGAGAGGGAGGATAAAATGAAGAAAAGAAAACTAGAAATATGTTTTCTAATTTTCATACAACATTGTAAT